TTTGTGGTTCTACAAAATATTATGGTTCTATTTCTATGAAAAATGCCAAAGGAATTTTGATTGTGACTGCATTTAATCTGTGGATTCCTTTAAGTGAAATATTTTACTATACTTTAAATCCTTGAGCATTTCTTTGTGTTTCTTCAATTTCTTTCAGTTGTCTTAGTTTTCAGTGTACAGGGCATTTATTCTGTCCTTTTGTGATGTGATTTTAATGAGGTGGTTTTCTTATTTTGTTTTGTGAAAATGTAGCAGACTTTTATATATTTTGTACCCTTCAAGTTTGGTGAAATCATTAGTTTTTGCAATTCCTTGGTGGACTATATTCCTTGGTGGACTACTTGATAATGGTTTTATATAATTTGCAAATAGTGATAGTTTTAGTTCTTAACTATTTGGAGCCCTTTATTTTTGCCCATCTAACTGGCTAAGACTTCTAAGACTGTTGAACAGGAGTGGGCATCTCAATCTTATGTGAAAGGTATTCAGCTTGTCAGATAAGATGTTTAAATGTTGAAACATTGCCTTTAAGCCCATTTTGTGGAATTAATATTTTTCTTTAAATAACACTGCATTGTAATACGAAGTTCGGGATATGCATCATTTAAAATCATGTCTGTATTAAATGAACCACTGGAAGTCCAGTTCTGTCCTTCACAATGGAATGGCTCCTTTTACCCTCCCTGTCTCCCCTGCTCATAAATACTCATCTGCTCTTAGAGTAAAAAGTTTATCTTTGTATTTAGCTCAGTTGCTTATTTGTTTTTATAGTCAAATCATATGTCTTAGCACAACAGCTGGCCGTTCTCCATATTATTTATTGCAAATGGCAGGATTTCCTTTTTACTTTTCCTTGTAGCTCAATAAGTATTCCACTGAGTACATATATACACAGCAACTCCTCTAAAACTTGTTAGTTCTTGTTTTTTGACAGCAGTCATTTCCGATAGGTGTAATAGGTGTGCAGTGATATCATTTGTTTTGACTTGAACATCTTCTCATGCTCTTGCTAGCTATTTGCTGTCTTTGGTAATTTTGGTATAATTTAGGTAATAGATGTATGTAGCCATTTTTTAATGAGGGGCTTTGTTACGCTTTATGAGTTTTGTTTTTGGATCACCTCTTTATGGGAGGTGATTTACAGCTATCTTCTTCCATTCAGTATGGTGTCTTCTGTTCTGATAGTTTCTTCAGGGGTGCAGGCACTTTTCTGTAGTCCTTACTTAGTTTGGCTTTCCTCCAGTTCACTAGACTGGAGTTCCCCAATATTTGTCCACAGCTGACCTCTAGTAGTATATTGTGTGTCTCTCTCGCGCATTTTATGATTCCAGGTTTTACATGTTTAAACCAGTTTGAGTTAATTTCTGTGTATGCTGTAAAACAGTGGTCTCATTTCACTTTTCTGCATGTTTTCCATGCACCATTTATTGACAATACTTTACTCCATTGTACACTAACTTCATGGTGTGCACTTGGCTTCTTCATACAGGTAATTATCATAGATTTATGACTTAATACCTGGACTAGCAGGTCTGTTCGATGGAGCTGTGTGTTTATTCCAGTAGCAGGATGACTTGCTTACTACTACCTGTAATCAAGGAGCTTGATACCACTTTCTCTTTCTTTTTTTCAGAATACCTTTTGCTACTGGGGAGCTTTATAGTTCCAAATTTATTACATATTTTTGTGAGAATGCCATTGGGATTTCAATAGAGTACAGTGATTTTGTATATTGCTTTAGATAACAGGCATTTTAATGTTTCTATTTTTTTTAATGTCTTAATTTCAGTGTACAGATGTTAACCAAAGATACTGAGAGTAACATCCTAGTTTTGTGCCTGATATTTGAGGAAAAGTTTCAGCTTTTTACCAATGAGTATGATGTTGGCTGTGGTGGACCTTCTATATACTACTCTTGAGTTTAAACATTATAAATGGATACTGAATCTTATGAATGTATTTCTATATCTGTTGAGATGGTTGTGACATTTTGTTTATCCTGTTGATGTACTGTGTTTTATTTTCTATCAGTTTTGTATAATTAGATTGTAAGTGCTCCTTCCATTCTTGGAGAACTTAGAGGACAGGTATTAAATTTGCTTTGAATGTTTGGTAACTTGATTACTGAGATGACTAATTCAATCTTCTTACTAGGAATGGGCACATTCCTTTCTATTTCTTCATGACTCAGTCTTAAAGATTTGAGATTTTTCTTGTTTCTAGACCTATGCCTGTATTGCTACGAACTTTTTGTTAGAATTGCTTTGGTTGTCTCCCTATGCATTTTTGTATGCTGAATTTGTATTTTCATTGGTCTCAAGGAATTTTGTATTGTTGTGAATCTCTCCCATTGATGCAAAAGTGGATCAGCTCCACATATCTTTGAATTGTTCAGTTTTTATTGTAACAGAGTCTTAGTTCATACCATGTGATTGAAAAGAAGTTTGGTATGATGTTGACCTTAAATTCATTGCAATTGTTTTGTAGCTTTCAGAGGTGATCTATCCTGAGAAATTTCCCATGTGCACTTAAAGAATGGATATTTGCATGAGATATTCTTTATACATTGAGTTCATCTACTCTAGTATGTTGTATAAAGCCAGTGTTAGCTTGTTGGTTTTGTTTGGATGACCTGTCCATTTATGTAAGTAAAGTCTTCGACTTTTAAAATTTTCTTCAGAGGGCCCTCCCTGGTGGCGCAGTAGGTTAAAGCACAGCACGAAGAAGCTTAAGCCATTTCTGCATGAGTTTGATCCCCACCTGCATCTCTGGCTTGTACCCCAGTTCTGTACAAAGAAATAATTTCGTTTATATATTTAGGTGTTTTCAAATTGGGTACATACATATTTATAAAGGTTAAATCCTCTTTTGGAATTCTGGATTTTGTGTGATGTAAGTATGGCTACTTTTGAAAACACCTATATGGAATATTCTTCCATCTCTTCTGGTTGCTAGTCTGCGGTGAATCTCTTACATGCAACACAATGAGCCTTGTTTTTTTAAATCTATTTACCTAAAAAAAATTATCCATGTATCCATTCTTTTTTAGTTAGCTAAGTAGTGTAGTTATGTTTAAGGCAACAACTGATAGTTTGTGCTTATTGTCATATTGTTTTGAGTTCCTTTTGTGCTCTTTGTTAGCTGTTACGTATCTGTCACTCGTCTTTGTTTTGTGGTTACTGTGAGAGTCACATAGAATGTCATCAGGATAAGAGGCTAACAAAAACTTTGCTCCTGTCCAGTCTGTGTATCCCTTCATCATAAGGAACTTCATTGTAGTAAGTTGATAAAAATTTTTATTAAAGTTAGTGGACTGAATGAAATAGATTTCTTTCATTACTTGAAGGCCCATTTAGAAGTGATAAACTCTAGTTTTTATGTATAACAATCTTTCTGGGGAAAGTATTTTTAGGTAGAATTTTTTTCACCATTTAAGCATATCACGTCACTGTATTTTGGTCTATAAAATTTCTGAAAAATAAGTCCTTACTCTTATAAGAGGGCAGGAAAATCTGGTTTTACATAAAACTTTTCTGGGGCCCTGAATGTCTGTCTCCTTAAAGTTATGAAGTCTTAGCTGTTATCCCTTCGCACAGTGTTTTTCCTCCCATCCCAATCATTTGGATGTTATCCTATAGGTCCCTTAGTAAGAGAAAGCAGTGCAATTTGCAAAAACTAAGTATCCACTGATGTGTGAAATGTGTATGCTTTATTATCACTCCCCAATATATACAAGTATGGAATCAATATTGTATAATAAAAAGTAACTTAAAGTTAGGTGTCATTTGTACCTCTTTGAAAACTAACTTGAAACAATTAGGTAAGGCATGCAAAAATGACTGCGATTCAAATATTAAGAGGTGCACTGCACTAATTCTTAGCCACATGGATCTTTCTATATTTTTTGATTTCATCTAGTTTGAAATGTGCTAAATTTTTCCTAATAGGTCTGCTTAAGTGTCTATGGATGGGCAAAGAGGTTCAAGGGCTTAATAAATGAGTTGTTATAAAGAATGATACAAGATAAAGTATGCTGAGCTATTCAAATTGCTTTTCGACAAATGTCTTGCCGCCTCTTGAGGATAAATTTGTATATTCTATACATGGGACAAGGTCAGACTATTATGATAATAGAAATAGATAATGTAAAATTAGACTTTTTCCCATGTCAATTGGTGACACTACAGCAATTCAGGAACATGCAGAATCGGGTCATTTCTGGACTGTCCCACCGCTTCCCTTCCCTGCATGTGCTGATCTGAGTATAACTGCAATGTTAGCTAAAGCGGCTACGCTCAGACCAAACATTCCATTCATCTCAATAACAAGCAAAGGATAACACTGGGGGGAACTGTCTTACTCGGCATGATGGGTGTCCACAATGGAGGTCAGTGACCCCAGCTGGTCCTCCAGAGCATTAATTCTGTATCTCATGTAGAAGGTCGAGATGATTAGTGCACAGACACTGCAAGAGATGTAAAGAGAAATGCTTAATAGGTTACTGGGCAAGACTTGATGTTAACATAGA